AATTAAAAATTAAACCGCTATTACAAACGTTACACATCGAATATGCAAGATCACAGTACAAGCAAATCATTCTCCCAATGTCCGTACTTCATTCCTGACATTACCATACAATGTTTCTGTGACATGCGATTAATAATGCAAAGATGACAATATGGCGACCAAAAAGTAACTAAGCAGAATGTGATTGCACAGAATCAATTCATTATTCAAGGCTAAACTACATTTCTATAGGTACAAGAAGCGTATTTTTGATTTTGTTTTTGAATTTAATTTGTACAGATCTTAAAATTAATATGGGCTCCTGTCTAACACATGTGACTGCCATGAAACTAACCAAACTAATTCCTCATTTCGCCACAAGAGGACTCGGCTTTTTTCACATTGTTTGGCGCAATAATAGTGTAGACTTTTTGACATTGTTGTTGAGTGTAATACACGTCAGACGTTTTGGCCTCTCGTCTGCACAGACGAGGAGTCAGTCTCTCGTTTCTGAGGCTGAGTGAGAATCTCGTACTTGACGAGAAGACGGAGTCCGGAGGTTTCTGACTCGTACTTTATTAAATGAAAGGCGTCTGGACATCAGTTAATTTAATATATATATCAATCTTAAGCTTGGAATTAGTAAATTTGTGATGGTTCCAGGAACTAGCTTCTTTTCACTCGTCCTCTAGTCCTCGTCACACTGAGTACATTTTCGGTGTACAAACTAGGTGACTCTCCTTGCCACTGCGCGCAGATTGGTTCTGAAGTCAACCCACCGTTCAATCCACTGGGTACCCGAGACGCTTTCCAGGTGGTAAAGCGGATGGAACGTGCATCTTTTGCTACTGACATTCGTCTAATGCCGGGATTAAGAATATGCGAAGGTATACCTCCACTTTCCATACGCCGCAATGTCTTTGTGCTTAATTAATTACAGAGAGAATTTCACCTTCGAGTGCAGCGTGCTGGCTACCATTGCTAGTAGAAACATTCGTTAAGAGTAAGACAGACGTAAGACAGTCTCTAGACTTACTGCAGCGAGCCAACAAGCCTTCGAGAGAAGTGACCCCTGCAATCAGAGGCACAGCTGCGAATTTCCCGGAGTCCAGCATTTCTCCCGGAGGAGCCGGAGGAAACACCTCTTCTTCACCGAACTCGGTGTCGGTCGTGGGCAGGGACGGGAATCCGAACAGCAACGGCTTTGACACCAACAGACGCAAATGTGACCGACGTTTGCACGAGCGGACAACAATGATCGTGAATTACCTTGAAGAAAGTGCACGTTAAACGTCTGTTCAAAAGCACGAGAGAACAAGCTCTAATAAATGTACATGTTTTAACGCTCTCTTAATTACTTAATTATTATCGCGGGTAATATAAAACTCTTCGTCCATTTTAAGAAATATCAAGGCAATTTAGTCATACTTAAGGCTCACACAATCTGCTACCTGTAAAACTGACTGTGTCGTAGCCGTTCATGAAAACTTGCGTCGCTCTGTATAACGCGTAACCTCCTCTCTAGGAATGAATGTTTCAAAAGCAAAATCGCCAAACCAGAAGTGGCTGGCTTGTCAGAGTATGGACAACAAGATTGTCGTATTCTCAGCTTTGAATCACAAGAAGACCTTCAGTGGACACGTGGTCGCTGGTTACGCTTGCACTCTTGAGGTGTGTCTCATTCCCTACAAATGAGAATTGCATCTGATGCTGCGGTGTCTTGGGCTCCTGGCTAAAAGTTTTGCCGTGAAAATAAGTACATAGCAGTAACGAAGATAAAAGCTCAGAGGACTAATATTCAGGAGCTGATATTTCAGAAGACACAGAAACTCAATAAACGTACATCGTGTCAACTGCGCGTTCTCTCTTTGCACACGGTGAAAAACTTTGATTTTGAAGACCTTTCAATGCTCATTCAATGTAAGGGCAGACATGACAAAAGACGAAACGATGGAATTTCTTGCATGTATATTACTGCGTATTCTTCAGAAGCAACATTTTTAACTTTTGTGGGCATAGTAATTGATGACGCTACTCTATGGCTGTCTGTCAGTGAGAATTGAAGATCTCTTGTCTGCAAGTGTGAATATGGCTGTCTCATGGGTTTTTACTGGTAGACGTTCGCCGAAAACTTCTACCAGAAGACAACCATCTTCATGGTGACATTTCTTCGGTGGTGTATGCAAGAGTCCAGCATGAATTAATGCAGGAGCATTGCAAAGACATGGTATTTAAAAGAATTATGACTGCTGTAGTCAGTGTACCTGATTCTTTTAACGCCACGTGACCTAAACCAAAGACATTTAAAGGTGTTCCTTGACTAAATTCAAAGACGAAGTTGCGCGAGCTTTGTTTCATCATTATTAGAAGAGACCAAAGTTTTCCTTATCGAAAAAGGACAACCAGTCAGTGGCATTGAACGTTCAAATTCGTGACGCAAATTTCCAGGCAGTTGAATCAGCTAAATACCAAACCTCATGGGAAATGCCAATTTGTAAGTAAAATGAACAATGCCTTGCCCTTCTGGGGGTTATTACAGTTATTTCATTGACAGCTGATTCATAATTCTTGTCACTTTCAAAACTGCTAGAAAATATTTTATCAATAAACACAAGATGAGTCGTGGTTGGTGGTGGATGAACGCACTCAACAATTCCAGCAGCCATATGCAATTGTCTACGTACGTACACTTCCGTTTGAGCAGAGCATTGTTCTCAACATTTCAGAATATCTGATAGTCATTCAGGAGCATAGAAACAAGACGCTGAACCCATTCTGCAGTTTATACGAATTGTTCTAGGCCCATATCTAAAAATGTGAGTGGCTTCTTCCTAAAGACAAATATCCGAATCTGTGGCAGGGGGCAGCCGATCGAAAAAGATATATTTGGAAGCACGTTTTTGAACTGGCTGTCTCTCATAAAGCTGAATAAATGTACACAAGGAAACAGTTGACAGACAAGAAGCGTCAAACCGGAAGTGCAACACTTGGTAGCGGCAATGATGGCTCAATGGTCACTTTGGGTTTTCATTACAAATAAACATCCCATTTTTATAAGAATAACAATTTTATTGAACATGTTTTAACATAAATTAAAAACATTTAAAAGTAGCTTATTTTCCTTGAAAAAAATAACAAAACCAATCATAACATTTTTTTTGTCTAACACCGCTTGTTGAAACGTCGGTTCACCATTTGTTTTGATATAACCCTGAGGGGGCGGACAGTACTCGTTCTGCTGTATGTCGGCTGCAGGCCCAGCACTGGCTGGTACTTTTGACAGACTATGCCGCCTGACTCACGGGTGTCATAAGTGCTGGTAAAAGACGGTCGTGCCTGTTGCAAACCTGGCATCCCATGCATGGCACCTACTCCGCCCGCCCACCAAACACTGCCGTAGATTCCGGCATATGTCGCATATTCTTCTTCACCCGGCGTGGCTGGCCTTCCCTGTTAAAAAAAACAATAATTAAAGACTATGGCGAAAGTTAAGTCCTTGTCAGATTTACAAAGTAAATGTTTTATTTAATGAATAATTTACTCAGATATTAAGGCACTACCCTCAGTGGTCCGTGGCCTAGTGGTTAGTGTCCTTGCCACTGGACCTGGACCCACAGTTCGCAGGTTCAAACCCGGTCGAGGGTGATAAAAATCCATAGCACAATATCCTTCGCCCCATGTCTTAGATTTACGAAAGGTAAACCTGCAAGCATGAGAGAATTAATGTTGTTCAGCAAAACTCAGCGGCTGTGTTTCTCACTCACGTGTATCCTGATCCCTATTACATGGCTGTAGCAGACAAAAATCAGGATTGACTAGAAATTGTGTGGAGGCAGTTGGCTGGTCACTCACTACTCACAAATGCACCCTACAAGACTAATGGGGACAAGTTGCCCGAGAATCTGTCCTGGGACGGGTCAATAGGCCCAATCCTTGTAGTAGATGATTATTATTATTATTAAGACATCTGTAGAAACTGCGTGTATTAAAGGTTTTAAAACAGAGTCTACACCCTCTATTTGGTAAGGTGTCTGACAAAGGAACGCAACAGAAATCGAGCCTTAAAACCGTATGTCATGTATATTCAGAATTATCAGGAATAGCGAGTTGTTTGAGTGTGTAAAGCTGCAAGAAGGTTTGTGGGTTCTGTCTGCTCAGAACGTCCTGCACACCTCCAATCTTATTTTCTATCTAATGCCCTCTGTTGGGGTTTCACAAATTATATCCCCGATGTTTAATGCTTAAGACATTTGGAAAAAAAAATTCAGGTAGTATTTACAATTAAAAGTATTCTGACTGACATACCATTCATTGACTTTAAATTGGGTTCACAGACAAACTTCTGGCACGAAGGTTACCTTGACATTTTGGGTCACGAGCCTCGCATAAAACTAAGCATTTTGAAATTACAGGACACACATATATGATGCACATAAGATTTTGAAAGCGTTGATGGAAATATTTGGTGGGCTTTGGTTCAACCCTACCGCTCCTAGAAAGCTAGGCGTCTTTAAAGTTTTCTGAATGTGCTGTTGACTGCTCTCATACTCCACTCTAACAAAATGATGACCAACCAGTGGAAGGTGATTGTTGTAGCTTGAACTGGTTTCGAACGCATTGGCTAATTATAATCTGTGAAATCAAAAATGGTATGTTTCATCTCCACAAATTGAAACCTTTTCCTAGAGTGGGTGAAGTTACTCGCTGGTGTTAGTTGGCAAACTTCCATGTCGCTCTGCAGCATGGATCACTAAAGACAGTAAGACACGAACAACACTTAATCGGCTCACTGCCATTATATAATATACTGTGAAATTAATACATACCGACAGCCTGCTGAAATCGACGTCATATGGCCAGATAAGGTGCCAGAGGATTCCCCACACCACCCGCAATGCGGCAACTACAATTATGGATGTGATCTAGAAACAAAAATAGTTGCGTCACCATGTGCAAATCAAGGAGAACAAAGATACATACTCATTACCACAACAAGCTCAACGTTCACATGGCCACTGATAGATGGCAGCACAAATAATTGATAGATGCTTTTCAGCTGACAATGCTGACGGATGGACTGGACGTCTCCGTGAGTTGATTTCTTTATTCTGAGCGGAAAGAATTCCTCATTGGAAGTATGGCATAAATGATAATAGCAAGATCGGAAAGGTTTACTCTTTGGAGTACACACAAGTTCTAAAGTCATTTATGTTGTTCGGAACAACATCAAAAATTTCATATGGATACTAATATATTGTTGCATGAGCAGTTTACATTGACATTTACAAATGGCAGCTAACAATTACTGGCTAAAAGGAGCAACAGACATAACAGATGGCCAAAACGTGCCTATGAGGAATTTTTGCTTATACCAAAGAATGAAGAACGCTTAATATACTGAAATAAGTATCAATCTACATAAGCCAGTTTAACATTTAACAAAATGATTTCTTCTTCGCATAATAAAACAAGAATGCATGCAATTGTTTAAAAAGTCAATGTAGAGTGATGAAATACCCTGATAAGAGAGCAATTTTATATCCTTATTGCATTACATGAACTTTCTAATATTGATAGAAGCATTTCAGGGCCTTCATCTATTAAATCTTTGTTCAGGAGAATGAGTCACAGTTGTTTATTTACTAATAACATGTTGAATATCAGTGAACAATCATAAGTTAACACACATCCAGTGCTTCTTTTCCAAGTGACAGAAGTCTGATCTGCTTATACAACAATGTGGTTAAATGTACCCACAAATTATGATGGATGTGGAAGCAAAATCAGTATCATAACAAAGTGTAAAACGGGGAAAATATGCATAACATATTTATTACTACAAACAAGCTGGTTGTGAGACCAGTAAAAGATGTGCATGTAATATCAAACTGATTTATGAAAATTACAGTGAGGAAAAGAATTGGACCGAACAGGTTTAGGGTTGTACCCACTAGCAGATATTAGTTTCTGTAATACATAAGGCTTTAGGCGACTTTTTTGAGATCCATTTTGAAATGTTTTTGTAAATTCTTATTATAGATTTCTTTAAATTTCTGTTTTGAAATAAGCTACAATAGAAAATAAGTATATGAAGAATGTGTAAGCCATATATAAATATGATAACCTTGCAAATGGATTCCAAGATCTCAGAAGAAACTCCTGCCTCCATCTTCAAGGCCACTTTGGCCTTAATCTTGGGACGTTACAAAGTAAAATATTACTTCATAATTTCTTAAACACAAGATTCTCAAGCACATCCACAGGTATTTAATATATCATCCGGGTTACACGTCTGTTTAAAAATCATATTACGACTGTACAAGAAAAGAACTCTGTACTGGTCAATATGTCAGAATGTCAGTATTAACAAAAATAAATATTGCTTGATCTGACACATCACCAGAAATTAGATGGCA